GGTTCATGGGGTCACGAAGAGTCGGACACGACTTAATGACTAAACAACAAAAATGTATATGTATATGTATAGATAGGTGTCTAGACCCTCACACTCAAGTCAGGAGGACAGTGGTACCCATCTACTATTTGCTTCCCAGCCACTAATAGTTAGGGCCACTAGATTCTGGAGGGGGTAAATGATGAATTGTAGCTTTTGGTAGCCTGATGTACTGATGTGTTTCAAATAAAGTTATCCCTTTTGTCAGTTGTGAGTCTTCCTGGATTTGGCTTCCAGGGTTCATCTTGGTCGTGCTATTGTGACAGTGAGTGGAAAAATGTCCCCATGCTCTGTGGGGCTTTACCTATCGCCAGCACGAGGCTGCTTCTTTTTGAGCTAAGAACTAGAGGCATATTTTTCCCTTGCAGGAACAGGATGCAGGGTAGATATGCTTTGTTTGATGAATAGTACATCTTGATCCTCAGAATGGACAGTGCTAAAAAAACCATGCGCCCATCCTTGGAAAGAAGCACTTTTAATATGCAAGTGTTAAAAAGACAGCACAGTTATATATTACTATAAAAATAACCATCACCAGATGCAGCCCACTATATTAGGGTGCCAGTTAAACCTCTCTGGAGAGGGATTTGTATAACTGAGAAATTCACTTCTTTTTTGCTTCACTTTAGGATTTATAGATGCATTCAGAGACAGATGTTCTGAATTTAAGCTATGAACTGTTTCAAGATGTTAAAACCAGCACTTTGACTGGGATCTGGAAATAGAATAGAATCCAGTCAGTCACTCTTTCTATATTCAATTTATCTCCTGCTTTTTATTCAGGCACTCAAGGTGTCAATGCTTCCTCCTCCCATTTTTCACCACAGTAACAATCCTGTGAAGTTGGCTTGGTTGACAGGGAGGGACTGGCCCAAAATAACCAGAAAACTTCTATGGCTGAAGGGGGACTAGAACCCGGGTCCCCCAAACCTGAGTTCAGTATCTTCCCCACTACCCCACCCTGACTCTCATTTAACCCAGCAGATAATTAATTTGATAGTCCTTCTCTCAGGAATCTGTGGTCCCAGGGATTTCCATTAGTCTTGTTTATGAAGATTCTCAGTCATCCAGGTGGAATTGTCTGGAGGTTGAGTCATGGCAACTGGACTTCTTTTCTTTTTGGTTAGAGACGTTTGACTCAACCTCCAGACATCCGTTAGTCTTATTTCAGACTAATCTGGCATTTGGTAACAGTGGGTAGAGTACTGTAGGATGCTGTGTTTGGGGAAGGCAGAGCAAGAGAGATCACCCATTGCCTTCTCTAGCTTGGCTGATCCTCAGTTCGGTATCTCTCTACTTCAGCATTCCCCAACCTTGACAACTTGAAGATGTGTGGGCTTGCTGGGAGAATGGCGGGGAATTGGCTGGGGAATTTTGGGAGTTGAAATCCACACATCTTCAAGCTGCTGAGGTTGGGGGACACTATCTGAATAGATGTGTTCCTTCCTCCCTTGTGCATGAACCCAATTTCTGAAACGTGCCAGCATAGCAACCAAATACACTGGTGCAAACGTAAAGTCTACTAGGCCAGCACTCATTTACTGTTTAGAATCCTGGACTTAAACTTTTCTGCTTCTTAAACAGTTTTCTTCCATTCTTGCTTCTGGTTCCTCTTCTCCCTTTTTAAGCAGAGTTGTAAGTTCCAGATCAACAAGCCATGCTGGTAGATCTGTCTAGACCAGCGTGCCCATGCCTGTCCCCTGTCAGTTCATCCATTTGCCAACTCTTTCCTTAAGCTCCCTCTTGCTCTTGTGAGTGATGATTTTGATGCGTGGTGTCTTAGGGAGAAATCATTTTGCCTTCCCACTCTTAAAAATTCCCGATGCGTTCATTTTGTTGGGAAATACTTATTCTATGAAGAACAGAATGTGATTCAAGACGTAGCATCCAAATGCTGTTTCTGCAGTGAGAGCTGGAAATCAGAGAGTGATGCTTTCATCCTGAGAGATTAGTCAAGCCATTTTTTCAGTGAAGGACTCCACACATCTAGAATAATTTTTCCTGAATCAAAGACATCTGCTCTGTTTCTGCAGAACGCCCCCCACCACTCTTCTCAACGGGAGTGACAGTTATATAGAAGTAGTGTAATTGGTCTCTGCACAGAGTTTCACTCTTGGAAAAATAGCCTTTGTATCATTTGGTGAACCTCGAACAAATCTGTTTCCTCCAAGCAAAATTATGAAAAGTAAGGCTTGAAGCAGGAAGCAGTAAAAGAAAAAATAACTTTTGGCCAGCTAACTTTTGTGGGGTTTGTTTACAGGAGCACAATGTACACGCTGCTTTCCGGGCTTTACAAGTATATGTTCCGGCGGGATGAATACTGCATATTAATCCTGGGACTGGACAATGCTGGAAAAACAGTGCGTATCTGTGCTTGTTCATAGGAACAGGAAAATTGTGTCCTCTCCACCTCCCCCCCCCCCACACTTTGACTAGTTTATTCCTGGTCATAAAGTGGAAACTTCCAGGCTATTGGAGGAGATAAATTAAGCCCATCTCTAATTTCATTAGGGGGTGTCACCTGCAGGTGTAGATGCTGTCACACTCACGGCTTTCTCAAATTAAAATGTTTACAATTGTAAAAAAAACCATTGAAATTGCCAAGACTTCATGAGATTGACTGTGGCTTTCCAGGAGAAAAACAGAATGTTCCATTCTGGATCGTAGAGTTTTGTACATCTCATTCTGGTCTTAAGGAAGCCCCACTGCTTCTTGTGCTACTTGGAGCCCCATTTTGTTCTGTTATCCCAGCCCATTATCTGATATAAATACTTGTTTGATTGATTATTAAATTTATAGCCTGCCCCAATCTGTATGGACAGCTTACAGGGTAGAAGAGTGAAAGCAAAAAAATGCCGAATATGTAATTCAAAATAATGTCCTCAGAGAATCAAAGTTAATTAAATAACAAAAATATTCCATAAAGGAGCCACCACTTGCTCTAAAACACAACTGGGGACAGGGCCAGATTTTAAGGGTTTGCTTAAACAGTTCCATATTAGAGGAGAATACTTCTTCAGTAGTTTCTAAATAAATTGCTGTTTTAAGCAGAAATGCTGGAGTTACTGTTCTGAGACAGCAAGATTCTTTTTGCTTAATCTCAGGTCCCCAGACTCGCAGTAATTTTTCCCTGTCCAACAGCAATCAGTGTATACAACAACTTGGGTTTTCCTTTCCTTTCCTTTTCATTTCCTTTCTTTTTTTCTCCCTCCAGACCTTTCTTGAACAGACTAAAACAAGATTCAACAAGAACTACAAAGGAATGAGTTTATCCAAAATCACAACCACTGTTGGTCTGAACAGTAAGTCAATCTAGATTGCTAAAGAGCGGGAGAGTACAAGTCGGTTACCCTGCACATTTTCCATGGCTTGGCCTTATGGTGGTCACCCAACAGATGCCAGGGAGACAAAAAATTAATATACATTCACAGGAGGAATCTCTCTCAAGTTATCTCCCTCTCGGAGGCCTGCTATAATAATCAGGTCCTTACCTTCCTGAATTGCAGTACTGTTGAAGAAAGGTGACTTTTGGGAGGGGGTCCTGTTCCACAGAACAAGAGCTGAGAAGGGCCTTTTCCTGAACCTTCTTGATGCACATTCTTTAAGAGGGGAAACCCAAAGGGATACCACTCTTCTGGATCCAGTGGGATGGGCAGACATTTTGGGAAGCTCATGGTCCTGCATCAAGGACCCTGTCACTTCCTCTTGTTCCGCTGGCAGTTCCAGCTGTTTACCATGCTTTTTCCTGCAGACCCTCCTAATGAGACTTGAACAATTATCTCTCTGACCTACAGCCTCAGTCTTTGTTCCTCTGTTCATCTCCACAGGCTCCAAATCATTAATTCATAGGTGCTCCAAACCCCAACCATCCTACAACAATTTCACAACCTTACTTGTCCCTAATACTAATAGCTTCCCCTACTGCTACAGCTTCCACTTTCCCACCTGTACAGAACTATCCTCTTCTTTGGCATCATTTAAAAAAATAAAAAAGGCATATCCTTGAAGTCATCAGGATTTGTCCTTGACTCAAAGGAGTCTTTCATTGACAAAGGCCTACATACCCTTGGACCTGGCTATCTAAGGAACTGTGTCTCTTATTACAAATCTGTCCAGCTCTTATGAATTGCAGCAGTTGCCCTACTACGAGGTGTGCTGCTGGCTACCAGCTTGGCTAGTATAATGGACTGTAAGAATAGCCTTGACGAGGAGGAGGAAGAGCTGTAGCCAAGCCAACTGTCAGATAAGAGAAATCTGAGTCCAAAGCAGGAATGGAATATGAGAAAGCATCTCAGATGTGACCCTCCCTCGATCTCTTTAGGATAAAGGCAGGGAGGGGGGAGGCATCTTCAGAGTTGCAAGATTCTGTTACTGTAACCCTATGATAAAAGTAGTTTTAATATTCATGACTACCCTTCGAGGCAGGCCAGACCTGAATACCAAAATCATGAATACTGTGCCTCTCCCCTGCCTGCCTTTATCCTAAAGAGAACGAGGGAGGGTCACGTCTGAGATGCCTTCTCATATTGCATTCCTGCTTTGGACTCAGATTTCTCTTATCTGACCGTTGCCTTGGCTGCAGCTCTTCCTCCTCTTCCTCCAGGTTATTCTCACAGCCCATTACAGCAAGCTTCAAAAAAGGGTTGGACCAGTTCCTGGAAGTCCTGGGGATCCATGGCTCTTAGCTGTGATGGCAGTGGAACTGCCTCTGAAGCCCATCTGTTGGGAGACTGGTGGGCTTCCTTGTGCAGTTGGTTGGCCATTGGGAGAGCAAACTGTTGGATTAAATGGGCCAAGGGTCCAATCCAGCAGGGCACAGCTTACGTTTTTATGAAGATGCCCCATGACCAAATCCCCTTTTTCTAGCCTATAGAACAGGGGTTCTCAAAGTACGGCCCGTGGGCTGGATACGGCCCGCCCACCTGATTGGCCACCGCTGCTGTCTGTCAGAAGCGGAAGTGTCAGGGCTGTGTTGGGAGCTGCAGGCAATTCACGAGGAGGGAGATCGCAGAGCCGGACTATTCTACATGACAGGTATGCCGTGTCCGGCGGCTCTCCTCCTCTTCTCATGTTTTTTTCAAACTATAGTCCAGCCCCCCAACATTCTGAGGGACCGTGAACTGGCCCCCTGTTTAAAAAGTTTGAGGACCCCTGCTATAGAACAACCCCCTTCCCCTCCCCTCCCCTTGAATTAAAAGTACATTATTTTCAAACTATAGTCCAGCCCCCCAACATTCGGAGGGACCGTGAACTGGCCCCCTGTTTAAAAAGTTTGAGGACCCCTGCTATAGAACAACCCCCTTCCCCTCCCCTCCCCTTGAATTAAAAGTACATTAACATTCTGAGGGACCGTGAACTGGCCCCCTGTTTAAAAAGTTTGAGGACCCCTGCTATAGAACAACCCCCTTCCCCTCCCCTCCCCTTGAATTAAAAGTACATTAAATGAATTGGATTCAGCAGAAAGGATTTTGATCCCCATCTCCACATTCAAATTTGCATTGTGGTGGCAAATTTTCAAGGAGCTCTGAAATTATACCCAAAGCTCTTTGGACATCCTATTGCATGCCACTGTTTTAGACAAGGGAGACCCTGAAGAAGTTAAATTAGTCTTAATGCAGAAAAAAAAATGCACATTGCATTGTCTGCTTATATTTCCTAGTTGGCACAATAGATGTGGGAAAAGCCCGGCTGATGTTTTGGGACCTTGGAGGACAGGAAGAGCTTCAGTCTCTTTGGGACAAGGTAAGGTGGATAGATGTGATTACAGAAGTAGTTTTCTCATTTCATTGATTTTCTATTTATTTTACAAGATGTATAACTTGCCTCAGTCAGAACTAACTGGGCATTATACATCAGCAAACTAAGAAAAAGATACAGCGAAACTGGTAATGAAATGTCTGTAAGGCACAAGCAAGCTCAGAGAGCACCAAGAACTCCACAATTCAACCCTGAGCTATACATATTCCCTTCTACTGGAAACATATACAGGTAGTCCTCGCTTAACCACCATTCATTCACCAACTGTTTGAAGTTATGACAGCGTGAACGAATGGTACTTATAGCCAGTTTTCAAAGCATTGCAGTGCCCCCACAGTCACATGATCAGAATTCAGGTGCTTGGCAGCCTGCCTACATTTACGACCTCAGCATGCACTTCAAGTCCCTCCACCCGCCTACCTGCCCCCCCATCTCTGCCCTTTTGGCTGCCCTGCACTCTGCCACCGCCACCTACCTCTGCCACCCCCCCAGTGGCCTCAGCTGACCTTCACCACCTTCCTCCTGCTGCTGACAAAGCACATCTGGCCGAGGCAGCTGCTGGCCCTTCTCATGCGGCCTCGCAAAGGGCCAGCTGCTGCTTTGGCCGGGGGTACCTCATCAGCGGGAGAAGACGGTGAAGGTCAGTGGGGGCTGGCAGGGGTAGGCGGTGGGGTACAGGGCAGCCGAAAGGGCAGAGATGGGGGGAGATAGGCAGGCGGAGGGAGTTGAAGTGGAGGCAAGCAGGGCAGGACAAGGATGAGGTCCTCACCTAACAATGACCCAGTCCTGGCCTAACGACTGCAACCGGAACTATCAGAATTGCTGTCATTAAGCAGTGCAGTCATGTGATGTTTTGCTTAACAACCACATTGCTTAGCGATGGAAATTCCAGTCCCTGTTAGGGTCATTAAGCAAGGACTACCTGTATGGGCATCAAACGCTTCAGAAAGTATGCAAATGGGAGAAAATGGGAGAAATTCCAAGGAGCAACTCTTTTTTCTGCATGAATGCCTACGACAGCATGCCCTGCCCACTAGTGTCAGATACAGACCGCTAGCAATTGTGCAGCTGGATGGAAGGTAGCTCAACAGAGTGGCCAAAGAACAGTACAGCTAATAATTATGGAGGCTCACCTTAGGCTATATAAATACCAGCCCACCACAGATAGCCTCAAGGAGCAACCAGAGCAAACCTTGACCCCAGAACACATAAAGATGCTGGCAGTCACCATTAAGACAAGCTGAAAAAAGACAAAACTCCAAACCAAACTGCTCAAGTTAAACCCCAGAAGCCAAGAGGTATGAGAACCTGAATGGGTGCCCACTATCCACCACAGAACATAGTATCCTCCAGAAAGGTCTCAACTACAACATAGAGGATGCTAACCAGTTAGAATTCTTCGCAGCCTCGGAGGCAGCATTCAGAACCACAGGACTTAACCAGAGACCCAAGAATACGTAAGGCAGACAGTCATACCACAGACGAGAAGAACACAGAAGCAGAACCAACTCGAAGCAGAAGACAGAGCAGCCCTCAAAACACTAAAGAAGACCAAACCGTCACCATTCTCCCAGAAGACAAAGGCCGAATCACCGTTACCATGGACAGAACACAATGCCTACAGAAAGCCAAAGAACTACTGAAGGACAAATAAACCTACATCCCAGGAAATACCAGCCCAATACAGAAACAGCCAAAAATACACAAGCCCAATATACCACTTTGTCCAACTGTATCATTACCAGGGACCCCAACTTACAACACAGGCAAAGAACTCACAAAAGAGTTTGGACATCTCATAGAGGGGAGTGAATATTCTATCAGTTCTCCACTACAGTGCCACCAGAAAATCAAGACCTAAGAATAGAGGAAGATGAAACTATGGTCTCATTTGATGTCACAGCACTCTTCACATCCATAGATCCAGAACTATCAAAAGAATCCATCGCAGCAGTACTACGCAACACACCCGACCTAGCCAAATACACTAAGGTTAAAATACCCAGGCTCATGGATCTCATGAACCTTTGCCTCACCACCTACTTTCAGTTGGATGGACAGATATACCAACAAATTAGAGGAGCACCCATGGGATCACTGCTCTCAGGATTCATAGCAGAGACCATGATGTAGCATCTAGAAGTAATAGCACTCCTACACAAACAACCAAAAGCATGGATCTGATATGTAGACTATAAAAAAGGAGCAACTAGAAAAGACACATGAAACAATCAACAGCATCTTCTAAGGAATAATATTCACAAGGGAAGAAGAAAACAACATGCTACCCTTCCTGGATATCCTTATCAGCAGAGGAAACAACAGCAAATTAGAAACCCAGCTCTTTTGGAAAGCAGCCCACACTAAGTGCTCTACTACCAAAGTAACAACCTGACCTTCCACAGGAGGAGCTGTGTAAGCATGTTATTCAGACAAGCACAAACATACTGCAGCAACCCAGAATGCCAGAAAGTAGAAACAGATTGCCTATACAACATCTTCCAACAAAATGGATACCCACACAACTTAATCAAAAAGTGCCTTACAGCACAACCAGTGCAACCTATGCATAACACTTCCATACATCAAAAATATCTCAGAAACCAACAGACTGCTGCAACCACACTGTAGCACACAAACCAACTAAAGCCCTCCAAAACATCTTAAATAAACCAAAAGACCAGTAGCCCAAGAAGAAAAAACAGGAGTCATCTACAACATGCAGTGCAAGGATTGTAACAACCACTGCGTAGGACAGACAGGCAGAAGGCTTGCAGAGCGCATCCATGAACACCAACTAGCAGTCAGAAGACACGATGAAAACTCCTTAATCTCACAACACATGTACAAACTCAACCACAGTTTCAACTGGGAAACCGTTAACATCTTAGCCCAAGCTAAATCCAAAAACGCTAGGAAATTCCTAGAAGTTTGGCATTCAGGCAAATGAGCCGTCAATAAATACAGAGAGATAAACCATGTTTACACACTATTCGAAAGTGACAATAAAAAACCTAGGAAGGAAATAAAAAGACTACAACACATCTTCTCCAGCAGCCCATGTACAGATAAGCAGGGATCAGCACCAGACAAACAATCAGGCAGAAAACAATTCTCTAATCAAGGAATCCCCAAGGAGAAAACCATACCCCCACCAACACTGGCAAGGGCAAGCTACTGCGTATAAACAGGCGGCAAACCCCACACTCGCACTGATAATGTTACCTAGCTGGGTAATGAAACATCTGCAAGCAAACAGCCAAGCTCAGAGAGCACCAAGAACTCCACAGAATCATTTGTAACAGCCATAGTAGCTCACCAGTTGAGTGTTCTCTCCTCTTATTGCTGGAGCAAAAGGGTTCAACCAGACTTAATAAGTCTCCAGACATGAAGCAAGTCACCAAGGTTGTATGGGCCATGTGCTAATGTTCAGAAGGCTTACTCCAAAAAGTAGGCAGAGTAAAGACGGAAACTAAATTTAGTTTGATTTAAACTAAATGTAAATTGCATGGTATCCAATTCTGGGCAAAAGGATCTGGGTATGTTTAGCATGTTGTTGTTAGTTTTGTCATCTTTATATTTAAGCTAAGTCCCATTTTTTCACCTTTCTCTGACTTTTATGACTGCAGCATGCAGATCCTTTGCGTTTTCGGCTATCAGGGTAGTGTCATCAGCATAGCACAGGTTATTGATGTTTCTTCCTCCAGTTTTAAAACCACACTCATCTTCTTGCAAGTCAGCTTCCCTTAATATATATTCAGCATATAGGTTGAATAAATAAGGGGGGGAGTATGTAGTAGTCCTCGCTTACTGAGTTGCAACAGTGCTGAACAAATGGTACTTACAACCAGTCCTCGAAGTTCCAGAAGTTGCAGTGCCCCATGGTCCTGTCCCCACAATTCAGGTGCTTGGCAACCAGCTCACACCTACATGGTTGCAGCAGCTTCCCACTGTCACGTGTTCACCATTTGCAGCCTTCCCTGCAGGCTTTCCACAAGCAAAGTAATGGGGAAGCCGGCCAGGAAGGTCACAAGTTGCTCTGATTAGTCCCCTCCTTCCTGCGCACCATGCTGTGCCCTCCTTCCCTGGACCTCCCTGCGCTTGCATGCATGCACCCACCCACCAGTGCCCTCCTCACTGGGCCTCCCTGCACTCACACACACCCCACACCCTCCTTCCCAGGCCTCCCTGCACTTGCATGCACCCCATGCCCTTTTTCCCTGGCCTCCCTGTGCTCGTGCCGCACTGCAGCACCCCCTTCCCCCTTTTCGTGTGCAGCCTGCACCAGGCCTTCCAGGGCCTCCCACCCCACCCCCGTGGCACCCCTGTGCTCCTTCCTGCTTCCCACTTAACAACCCACGTGCCTTGGGTTATGACGACAGCCGGGACTGCCTGGATTGCCGTTACTAAGCAATGCAGTCATGTGATGTCATACTTTACTACTACATTGCTTAGTAACGGCAATCCTGGTCCCAACTGCCACCATAACTTGAGGACTACGTGTACAGCCTTGCCATCTTGCTTTGCTAACCTGGAGCCAGTCTGCTTCACTATGTTCTGTCCGTACTGTGGCTTCATGACCTGTATTTAAGTTTCTCATGAGGACAGTGAGTTCTTCTGGGGTTCCCATTTTTCTCAGCACATTCCACAGCTTGACATCATCCACAAAATCAAAGGCCTTCCCATAATCAAAGAACCACATACTGACTTCTTTTAGGTTTTCTTTGGCTTTTTCAATTATCCAGCATAGATCAGCAATAATGTACTGTGTTCCTCAGCCTTTTCTAAAGCCAGCTTGAACATCTGGCATCAATTTTTCCATGTAGGGCTCTAATCTCTATTGGATGATCCTAAGCATTATTTGGCTACCATATAAAGTTAAGGATATTGTACAATAGTTTGCATACTCTGTTAAGTTTCCTTTTTGGGTATTGGAATATAGATTGACCTCTTCCAATCTGTTAGCCACTATGTCATTCTCCAGATTTGCTGACATAGCTTAGTTAGAACCTTGACTGTTTCTTCTTCTGTTTCTTGCCATATTTGGTAATGACCAGAGTGTTGATCTAACTTCATCT